TGTATACTCCTGTTCTATATGAACGAAACACATTTTTGCATGATGATATGGTATGTATTAAACAGCACAGTCTACATCCACCTCACAAATATCCTTAGAAAATCTTTTCACTCGTAAAATCCATCTTTCTTTTTTCCATGTAATCCAATAGGAAGTCCTCTTTTATATTTATCTTTCCTGTGACTCACATCACATTGTTTCTATCCTCAATCAATATCAGTCTGTTTGCTTCACTGCATCCATCGTGCATTTTCCTTGTTACAAAGTTCTTGTAAATGGAGGCGCTGCATTCTTGATGTGCCAATTCACCATTTCTTTGGATAGTTTGTAACCCAAGAAGTACAGTTTGTGCTCAGGGCCACAGCTGCTATGAAGTGTTCATATTTAAGGCCACTACTTTTAAAGAGTAAGCCCTCGTCACTCACCAGATATCCCTTGCATCCACAAATCGATACTCTTCACAACCTTCCTCTCCTTGGCATCCAAATTGAACTCTCCCATGCTGAAATGTTAATCACATGCCTGGGCAAGTCTATTCTGCAGTCCAAGGGGTGCCAGATACACTCCTATGATGACAGTCCATGCATACTTCTCCAGCAGTGAATCAAAGGCAAAGATAATAGCATTACAGCACTATACTATGTCTCATCAGCCCTTGTATTAGCATGTTTGTTCATGTATCTGTCCAGCACATGAAGTGTTTTACACGCAATACCCACGATGCAATGGAGGTCAATTAGCCAAATCAAGTCTTCCTTAACCCCCGTGCCTTCCCATGCTGCCATGGTGTGGAGTATCTATAGGGGGCACCACAAGAGTTCAAAGCACCAAGATGAGATAAAATAGGCAACCATGATCTAAAAATGTCTGCAGTGAACAAGACCTAAACTCCACTGGCTACTACTGGGAGATACTGAGCAATGGCGAAGATTGTGACCAGCAGTGAAGATATGGCAAGTTCAAGATCAATATCAAGGTGAAATGTTTCTACGTTCTTTAAAATATTGCAACTGTTTGTTCTTGCGCTGATCCATCTTCTCTTCAACGCTCTGCACTGTGAATGCACCATCGAACTCTGTCATCCTTCAATTTACTGGTAACTTCTAAAATAAAAGTAATTACCACTGGCTGAGATACAGTACATGGACTGGACACTGGATGAGCTGTGTTCGCATTATCTTTAAGTTCATACTCAAACTTAACTGTGTCCATTCATTGTCCTGAAGCAAACACAGTATATATCGGCCCACAACTGAAGGTGTCAGCACATGTAGCTATTTGCCCACAACTGTAGATGTCAGCACATGTATATTTCTGCTTACAATTGAAGGTGTCAGCACATGTATCTATCTGCCCACAGCTGTAGATGTCAGCACATGTATCTATCTGCCCACAGCTGTAGATGTCAGCACATGTATCTATCTGTCCACAACTGAAGGTGTCAGTACATGTATCTATCCACCCACAACTGTAGGGGTCAGCACTTGTTATCAGCCCACAATTGAAGATGTCAGCACATGTATCATCTTCATTCAAACAACTGTAAACAATCTTATGCTATCCGTGCACTTGTGACTGAAGCCTTGAGTGGTAATATTGTGCTACTGCCCTAGATAGAATCACATTGACATCGAGTCTGCCTTGTCTCTGAAATAGAGAAAAAAACTACAATTAGTGATGGAATAATCAACAATCACATATCACTATATAATTGTCAATCAAGACAATTTTCAACTAAACAATCATCTTAGCTAAAGCAGATTTATGAAACCAGTAGGTCATGGGCTGTTATCATTCCTTCACTTCAAATTATTCACAGTCATGTACATCAACATTACCTTCTAAGTACATAACTTAAAATCTAAAATTGGGTACCTAAATATCTTATCATATGCTGTTAAAATTTTCCATTAAGTTTCATCAATATTTTTCATCTTAAGGGAAAACGGCAAGCCCAGTAATGCAAAGCTATGAACAATTTCATTAACTGCATCAACTTCAGCAACAAATGAAAAATGAAGATTAAAAAAAAAAAAAAAAAACGTACTTGGATTTCATTGCTACAGGCTTAAGATAATCATGTTCTGATAGCTGAAGAACCTCTGGACGAAGCTCCTTTTTATACTGTAAACAGGTACGAATAAAAGACTTGGCCTCGTTGCTGACTGGAGGCTTGGAGGGGAACTGAGGCTCCGTTGCTTTTAAGATTGTGTTCTCTTCTAGAATGGCAGCTTGTGACAAGTTGTGACCAAATGGCTGAAAGAACAAATAAATAAATAAATAAATAAATAAATAAATAAATAAATAAATTTAAGACCCAAATGAAGAAGAAAATCAATTGTCTCTAAAATTTTAAGTAAGCTGATATACCCAGTTGAAGAGATAGGGTAACCTGTAATTCACTAGGAATGTTCTATTGGAGAAAATATGAGAGGATATCTGTGCACCACATTGTCAAATCTTTTTTTTTTTTCTCCTGAGTAATTCTAAGGGGTCAGCCATTTTTATCACCATTTCACCAAGCCTACAAAGGGTAGACTTTTTTCAGACCCCCACATCCCCCTTCCAAAGTACAAAGTAAAAAGTAAAAATTTAAAATGATGACCTTTGTAAGCAATATGAATCATCATTTTTATTATTTTTCATAAGTGTACAGAAACATAAACCCAGCATATGGTTTGCAGACTTGTAAAAATGATGCTGATAAAAATGGATGACCCCTAAGAAGATAAAAGCTGGGTCTTCCTCTTTTAGTTTCCATGACACTTTATCTTGAGAAATTCTTACAGAAGACAGGAGAGAAGAAAACAGATAGATTACCTTTTTGCCATACAGACACTGATAAAAGATCACCCCTACAGACCAGACATCTACTTTTGAGGAAATTTTTGGTGGTTCACGACCAACAACAAAACACTCAGGAGGTAAGTACCTGTAACATATCAATAGAAAAATATCAATCTGGCAGCAAAACTCAGGAACAAGCTTTATCAATGTTTTATCATTGGCTGAAGGTGTCTGGATATAGATATGGGAATATTTTAATTGTCTTTGCTGTTGTATTGAAGACATAATTATTGTAACAGATTGGTTAAATTATCTAGTCAACATTTCAGTGTACAAAATTTTAGTGTGCAGGTACAGACTTAATTACTAGAGAATGCTGCTAGAGGTGAAAAGGTCCAAAGAGATGGGTAACTGACCAATATGTCCCAGCGCCCTGTGAAGTGAGATCCATGCCATGGTCTGGACTATAGGTGTCGCCCTCCATCACCTTGCTCAAACCAAAATCTGTGATCTTGATTTCCCCGCTCACCATGCCCAGTCCTAGTAGAATGTTTCCTGGGGGAGAGAGAAAAAACAGCACTAGAAATCTTAACAGTCAACTACAGATGTTAAAATGAGCAATGAAATGCAAATAAGTTGTAATTAGAAACAAAAATCAACTCTTTCACAAGATCCTGGTTTAAGGTCACAGTGTACCCACCCAATTCAACGTCACAGTGTACCTACAATTGTTAAGGTCACAGTGTACCCACCCAATTCAACGTCAAAGTGTACCTACAATTGTTAAGGTCACAGTGTACCTACCAGGTTTGAGGTCACAGTGTACCTACCAGGTTAAAGGTCACAGTGTACCTACAATTGTTAAGGTCACAGTGTACCTACCAGGTTTGAGGTCATAGTGCACCTACCAGGTTTAAGGTCACAGTGTACCTACAATTGTTAAGGTCACAGTGTACCTTCCAGGTTTGAGGTCATAGTGCACCTACCAGGTTTGAGGTCACAGTGCATCTACCAGGTTTGAGGTCAGTGTACCTACCAGGTTTAAGGTCACAGTGTACCTACCAGGTTTGAGGTCAGTGTACCTACCAGGTTTAAGGTCACAGTGTACCTACAAGGTTTAAGGTCACAGAGTACTTACCTGGTTTAAGATCATAGTGTATGACTGGCGGCGTGATCGTGTTCAGATATTTCAGGGCGCTGACTGTCTGCACTATTATAGAGCGGGCTTCCCTCTCAGGTATACTCTTACTCTGCTTGAGATAGAAATCCAAGTCATGGCCATCACAGTATTCTAGAACTGTACAAAATCTGAAAACAAAAAGAAACATGCCTATCTATATGAAAATAATCTAGTTCCTGAAGCTATTCAGAATCCCAAACTATATAATTTCCACGGCAAAGTGCCAGAAATGTCACCTAAAGCTCACAAGTTTTCAGTATCATAAGAATGTTTTATTGACTCTGAAATGTTGCATACAGACTGAATTAAGTTATTTTCCTCTCACAAAAAAAGTTTTTTTTTTCATCACACAGCTGCATATTTAATGATTTGTAGAATCCAAGGTGAAGGGCAAACTGTCCAGATTACTTACGAATCAATATCAATTTCAAACACGTCGTAAAGTTTTACTATTCTCGGGTGATCCAGTGTCTTATGTATATTGTATTCCCGTACAGCATGTCTGCAAGACAAAAACCAGGAAGGTGACATATATTTAGGCTTAGCCAAGTGCAAAATTAAAACCCGAACTAAAAATACAAATTTCAATCTTTCACCGACTTATTCTATATCTCATACACTGACTGAAATTGAAATATTTTTTTGCAAATCCTAACAGTCAGTAAGCTAAAAGTACAATCACTTAAGGTTTTCTTGGGGTTTTTGTACAAACATTAAGGGACAGAAACAGAAAATATCATATTTCTAGTTCTCAAACACAAGGAGGAAATTTGAATCTCCATTAGCTTCTTTCCGTTTGTGTTAAAGAATCCCCCATCAACACTTACTTTATATAGTTCACTTTTTTGTCATCTTTCCACTCCCTATTCAGCTGGTGAATCTTACAAGCCACATCCCTCTGCTCTTTCAGGTCAAATGCCTAAAAAAAATATTAGTAATTATCAATACCAGGACATATCAGTAAAATATGCTAAGTGAGCTGAAAATAATGAAACGTTTGTTGCTTTCTAAGCAAGGCCATTTTTTTAGTAAATTACAGAGCAAATTCAACCTGTGCAACAAATGAACTTTCAAAATATGGCAAAGTAAATCTACTAGCCAAATGTCGTATGTAAACTCAAGATATTAACTACTCAATTTAATCAATTCATATTGATATATATTTTTAACCTTAAGAATGATGCCCGACAAAGTTTACATCCATGAATAGTCTAGCTATGAAATGAATGTGTAAAGCTTTATGAATTACAACTAAAGAGAAAGCCAAATTACTTCCTGGTTGTTGGGAAGAGGATAAATTTAGGTAGTTTAGACTGCGTTCACATGAAAAATCTATTTTCTAAAAATCTATTTGCTGTATCTTGTGATCACGGTCTGTGCCCTGAATACCCTACGGGGTAATTACTGGCAGTGCCGAGAATTAATTACAGCTTTGGAAGTAACTGGCTCGCGCAAGATACCACAAATAGATTTTTAGAAAATAGATTTTTCATGTGAATGCAGCCTAAGTCTTCTTAGAGATACCATTTTTTTCACCATTAGATTACTAATATTCCGATTTTCATTTTTCTTTTCTTTGTAGATTTTTTTTTTTTTTTTTTTTTGCTACATACGCAAAACATTTCACATATGCTGTTATTTTTTTTTAGGTTTTATGTATTTATTAATATTGTGAATAAAAAAAATCTTTTGTAACTTTGTTTTCTTCAGGTAAGATTATATTTTCTTTCAAGACTAATCAAATGGAGGTTTAATTTCTATATTTGTTTGAAGGGTTATAGTTTTCCTAGTGTGCGAACAAATGCATGTTTGTACGCCCCTGTGTGTGTGTGTGTGTGTGTGTGTGTGTGTGTGTGTGTGTGTGTGTGTGGAGGGGGGGACCTCACCTTGTGAACCTCACTAAACCCCCCTTTTCCTATAAGGGTGAGCAGGAGGTACCTATCGTTTAATACTGGGTGTTCTTTGAATCTGAAAATAAACAATCAAATGTATATCAACTTATTAACATTATATAAAACTTCTAGACACAGCTGTTAAACTTAATGGCATACAATATAATACATTTTCAAACAGAATCCTGGTCCGGTTTGTGGTACTTTTCTTTGTCTTTTCCAATCGCTCAAAATGCTGTGTCCAGGCCTGCCTTCTAGCTAATTTTTTTAATACCATTCCATGTGAACAAAAATCACTGCCATCTCACAGGAGCTTGTGTGCACGTGATCTCGTTATATAATGAGATAAAGCTGACACAATCACTGAATTTCTCCTCTGGTGCTGTAACTATTTTATACCTGGAGTTATCTTCATTGTGAATGCGTTTGAGTTCTCTGATATGTAAATTGCGCTCCCGTTCTAATTTTTCCAGCTCGGATTGTAAGTCAGTGTCCTCTTTTTTAAGTGCTGCTTGCCGCAGCTTCAGAATCTCGTCCTGTTCGTAAAACCCGCCGAGAGATAATCTGGAACAGTAACATAAAAACAATCAAGATCTTATTGCATATTTGTTACATCCATTATTTTTCAACAGTTTTTAAACTTTCTCAACAAATTTGGGGAAAAAAAGCATTGAGAATACTGGGATATTTTCAGTTAAAACAAACACATCAAGTTTTATCTACCAAAATATTTGAAAACAGAAAACCCCATACATCTGCTGAACAGTATCATAAGCTAATATCCATGATAAATGCCATAGTTCATCTAATATCAAAGCCTATTTCAGCAAATACAACCAACTTTTCCCAGCTTAATGTTAAGATTTGACTGTAAAACTCACTGAGATTTTTCGGCAGGCTTTAAGAATCCATCTTGACTTTTGCTCGATCCTCTGCTAGTCCCTCCTGTCGAAGGTTTTCTTTTCATTAACAATTTCCGTTGTCGGTCTATTTCTTCTCGCTCTGCTCCTATCCTTTCCTGACGCCTGTAAACAAACAAACACTTAATTTTCTAACAAACACTTGTAAATTAAGTTGTTTCTTATGTAAACTATTGTGGGGCAAGTATAAGTATATTGAGTAACCATTGTGCCTGAGACACATCGTAGACCACTTAAGCCACTAGGGTACTGGACTTTTGATGCATTTTAGGCAAAACCAGTTTGAGTTTATCTGGGTACATCTCCCACAAAAACTGACCAACAGTTACTTTAGTTTGAAACCTTCAGATTAATCCCAAAATAAAGTGGACCAAAAGGCACAAGTTTTCCTGTAAAACCAGTCCCTAGTGCAGGATGTTACACTTTGGTCGAAAAGAGACACATTTTATACAAAACCAGTTTGGGTTTATTTGCTCACTTTATCACATCTGTAAATGCATATCCGTCCACCCAGTTTTCCACGAAGGACGTCCCTTGGCGCTGGGTCTGGAACTGGCCCAGCCGCAGCCTGTTCTCCATTGCATGTTGCCGCCTGTCCTTCTTCTCCATATCACTCTGAAATGTCAAGGTTGTATTAAAAAGAAGCTAAGGTCATATCGGAGTGAGGCCAAGGTCAGAGCAATGGGAAGATCATGGAAGTGACAAGATAAACGTCATGCCATTTTTGGTCCCTTAAATATTTTTGGCATTAATGTTGATTTTTCCATCCAATGCTTTTAGGTTTAGGTTAGAAGGATGATAACAAAGCTGATTTCCTTCTTTTCATTCTCATGTATCCCAAAGGGCCAACATTAACTGTACAATGAATTTTATACATCAACAATTTTTTCTCTGTTTTCAACTTATATCTGCCTTGCACTAAATCTGTGAGGAGGACATTACCTTTTCTATTAGCAGTTTCTTGGTCTTTTCTAGACATCTGTTTTGTGTCTCTTTATATTTGTCTATTAATTTTTGCTGGGCTGTGAGCTGCCTTCTTAGTTCATCAATTTGCTGAAATAGATATTACACAATAAGTTAGAATTTTTTAAAATAACTTTCTTGCAAAAAAGAGATGAAAAAAAAAAAAAAAAAAAAAAAATATATACATATATATATATATATATATATATATATATATATATATATGGATTAAATAAAAAGCTACTCTCACACTCACAGGAGAAAAATTCTGCAGCAATGTCCTTTAATTTCATCATCTAATTTACAAACAAATCAGTGAACATAGCTACACCATTTGGACAGAACTTTTGGACTTGAATATCACATCCACACAGCTATGAAAAAATTAAGGCATCATGTTTAGTATTTTTTCTGTATGTTTGCATCTGTTTACCAATGTATTCTTTGTCACAAAAATCTTTTCCATACCTTTGAATATTCCTGTATTTTTTGATCCCTCACATCATTTGGCGGGGGCTGAGCGTTCATGTTCCCTAGTTGGCTGTGACTGGTGTCCGGCTAAAACAAAGACATCAATCTTTATAACTATATGACCAAGGACAATAAAATAATATCCTTGTCAAATCGACTAATAGAAAATCTGACTGGACAGATGAATTAAAACATAATGATTTCCATTACTGCATGTTTGCAATAAACATTAGGGGTGAAAAGTTTTGACTCCCAAAAAAGTTGGAATTCTGCCATAACTGGAAAAATCTAATGACTGTTTAGGCACCAACACCACCCAAAAAGTCAGGGGGAAAATTTTTCACGTCTCTCAATGTATTTCCCTTTTAAATAAAATATTGATGTTTACCTGTACTGGCCTCATTGAAGAGTCATTATTTTGGCTTCCCGCATTTGGAAACATCGACTGAAACTCCTGTGAGTTACTGTTGTTGCTCCCCTGCATTGGAGACTGGGCAAACATGACGGGGGACGCAGGGTACTGGAAATACGGGAAGAAATAATCACCGTCATTAAATACTAACTGCATCATCAAAAGGGAAGTTTTCAACACTAAAGCAATGTAAGAATGTCCAATGTTTCAAAGTTTGGCTATTTTTGATTTGGTTATATTTTGTATACTATTTGTATTGTTATTGTATTTGGTCATGTACAAAGAGAGGAATATATGACATTGTATCATTTACAACTCTGACTGAGATTATCTTCACCAGTAACTACATGGCTTAGCCTTTTTTTTTAAATGCAGAAAGACCAAAAATGACCAAGACCCCCCAGCCAGGGTACTTACCATTGGAATGGGGGAGTTCCGTGTTCCCCGACCTGGGCTTCCTCCCTAAAATAATAAATATCAAGAAAGGTTACCACAGATGAACAAATAACAGCTTCTACAAATTGTACTTATCTCGCCCCCTTTTTTCTTCATTTTTTTCCCTCTACAAGTTCATTTTCAAAGTTAAAATTTATGTCTATTTAAATAAATAAATAAGTATATTATACAGCGTCTCCACATTAATTTCATGACATCTAATGACAACTACTTCCTTTAATTTCCAATGGACAAAGTGAGACACTCTGCTTATATCTCATGGTAATCAAAACATTTTTTTCTGAAAATGACCAGTAATCTCTTGCTGACCTCAAATTTTTAATACTTAATACTTATGTGCTACAGGGCCAAAATCTTGACACTAGATGTTAATAATCTTCAATTTCACTTACCCTAAAATATTCATTTATCTTCTTGGCACTATCTGCCTTGCCTTGCTTTCCTTGCACTGAAAGTGGGAGAAAAAATTAAGGATTTTTTTCGCCAAATTCATATCTTGTTATTAAACTGATGACAAGTAATTTTTTTAAAACTTTTTACATCTAATTATATATTATCATTTTTCTTACATTTTGTTTCTCAGCTTGAGTGTGTGCGTGTTTGTGTGTACATGCATGCATGTGTGTTAAATATTCACTCTGAACATACCTCCATCTTCCGCACTGGCATTTTTCCTTTTTCTTTTCCTTTCTGTTGGTGTTTTGGCCTTCTCAGGAGTCTAAACATAGGAAAACAAAAGATTATTATTGCAAATTCCTTAATCCCCCTGTCTCCTACAATTGTGCATATTAAGGTAGGGTAACTTTTTCAGCTGTTGAAAAAACAAAAACAGGACAAAGGACTACAGCTGGTGGATAGATCTCTAAATAATAATAATAAATACAATGCTTTGGAGGAGATATCTATAGAAAAATGAACAAGTTTTCGTCGTTTTGATTTTAATGAGTCTAAGAATACATTTTTTTCTGTCATATAATCTGGACAACAGTTTGAAAAAAATAATTTTGTAACCAGCAGAGTACTCTCTGCTAATATAAAATCATTCAGCTCAATAGGCTCTTTAAACTTAAAAATGAAAAAGAAAATGCAGGATGTTATGGCCTACTTCAAAAATAAAGTCCTAATAGGTAACCAGCTTGTGCTCACAGCAATGCACACACAAATTCTTTTTTTAAAATAAAGTTAATCATAAAATAACATGCTAAACTGTGGAAGTTCTCTTGGTAAACAAACAAATTGACCCATTTATAGCATGAAAAAAGCAGTTCCAAACTCAACACAAACATTTCCAGTAGCATTTCCAGTGAAGTTGTGGCAGCCCAACTTAAAATGTGAAGGAGCGTTCAGATAAACCCACTGTACTAGCTGGATCGATCCTATTCTGCAGTCCCACGCTTAAGTCAATGTATCAACTGTAGTCAATGTAATCAGCTAAATTGTCTGATAAGCCTCTTAGACAGGCAAGAGGATAATTAACTGTCGTGAGCGCTCAACTCTTGGAAGCTCTTTCACTCTAGGAGGCATTTCAGACAATAAAGCTGATTACACTGAATGCACTTCAGTGAGAATCCCCTGCAGAGTTGGATGGATCTAGGTAGTACGCTGATTCAGACTGTGATTATCACTTCTTAGGCTCTATTCCCATAGATTTTAGATCGATCTATCCCCGCGGGGAGTCTCACTAGGTTACTTTCAGATAATCCGACTTAAATGTCCGTCCCGCCTACTACAAGCTGTAAGGAGGTAATTAACTTTCGTGTCCGCCCGGCTGACAGCTATTTAGAGTGGACCCCCAGGGAGTTAGGTCGATCTAAAGTAGGTCGATCTAATCTTTGGAAATGGGTGTTAGAGCGCATTCAGAATTCAGCAGACTAACAGATTCAGAGATCAAATGTGGCCGACCCACTTGAATGCTTATTGCATAATCCCCGTGGGGTATCTATTAAGTGTTTAGTGTCAAGCTTTTTAGTGGGTCGCCATATTTGTTCCGCGGACCTGTAAGTCCGCTGTTTTATATGCGCTCTGATAATGTATAGCCAATCATATTGCCACTCCTAAATTTAAACTCAATCAAACTGCTTTTAGTAAGACTAATTCTCTATGGTTAGAAATCTTGATTACAGTCAGCATAGATGGAGAACACTAAGATAGGCTGTCACAACTCAACTGTGAATGCATCTTTTGAGCAGAATCAGCATGCAGGAGTTGGAAACACACACATAAAACACTTCAAGCTCAGCTCATGCAAGTGTTATTTCAAATTCAGTTGAATAAATGACAAGGATATTTTCTAATCCTTTCCAGCATTAATAAATATTTAAAAGGCAAGTGATGAGCTCAGTGAATAAAAAACACTAAAAAAAAACTTTTTGGGGGGGTAGGGTGGGTAAAGTCAAAGGTGACAGGTTTATGTTCAGCGTTCTGTTATGTGGGCAAGAGAAATGAGAAAACTTCATGGTATAAACACCCAACATTATTTCTCTTTAACGATTTTCCAATGTGGCACAAAAGAGGAGGAGGGGAATGAGCTATAATAGAGATCACAATCAGAAACGACATAAAACACAATTAAGAATACACTGGAGTGTGCTGTTTACCTGTTGTCTAATTTCAGGAGGGGGCGGTGAAGCAAACGGGAGACTGCCCTGGTCCTGAGGAGAGAGAGAGATTATAACAACATTTTTCAAATTACAAACCGGGAGAGATATCATCAACTGATCAATTTAAATATTATGATATGAAGTGTCCGAAAATCAATTTTTATTTTTCAGATGAGGGACTGTACCAAACATAAAAATATCATGGAAAAATAAATTGCAACAAATTCCCACTATCCCATGGTGCACTACTTCAGACTTCACAGTCCAGAGGTGGGTGAAAAATAAATATACATCGCATATTTACTTTCCAACTTCTGGCTTCACTCTAGAGCCAGTAATGAACTGACATTGTATTGGCTCATAAGTCCATGATAAGCAGCAATTAACAAGTGCCCATTTCTTCATCATTATCTAGAGTAGCAGCCTAGTTGTTTTTTGTACAAATATGGGAGGTTTGAGGTGGGGGTGGGGATGAAACTAAGCAAGAGCAGCAAATAGTGAAGCAAAGAAGATAGAAGTGCCCAAGCTTTTTTTTCTAAAGTGGAAGCATCAATAAAATCCAAAACAATCACTAAAGCAAAGCATATCAAGATATGTTACCTAGCGTCTTTAATTCATCATATATCTTTAGGACTAATATCTACATCACAGTTCTACAATGTTACAATACAGCTCAGCTCACAAGCACATCTACTGTACATTTCCTCAAGGTAAAGCATGAACAACAGTTGAGGCAAGTTTAAATGCAATAATAAATCGATCGGCCAGCAATATCCTTCTTTTTTTTCAGTGCCAAAAAAAGCCGCTTTCATCCACCGGTAGTCTTACAAGGCTGCACAATACCAAAACATCTCACAATAGACATTTCATTAAAAAAAAAACTTCCATCAAAGGGCTTCACTGTATTTAAAACTGCCTCAACATAAAGATGCTAAAACTTCAAGGTGTGGTGAGTGAGTTCTTACTTGTGCTAGCCCATTGCCTACGATGGAGGAGGAGGTTCTCATTTGGCCCTGCAGAGAAACGCACAGTGCTACATTGCAGTATTACATATATATATCAAGGTGATGTTCAAGTCAAGTTGGGCAGACTTATCTTAACAAAACCAATCTCAGCATGATCACTGATTTTCTTTTCTTTTCCTTTCTTTTTTTTATTCTAAATTTTATTTTCTCCATGATATGCTCGCCATAACAGCAAAACCTTGCACCATTATAGTAACCACACCTGAAGTGGTGGTGTGTGAGGTAATTGAAGGAATAGATTTACTGGTTATGGTGATGTAATTATAATGGCTTGACGAGTGTCCTGTTGAGATTGGTCATACTAAGATAGGTCAACTACTGCAAGCTTGACTGGAAACAAACACAAACACACGTTTATATATATGTATAAATGTTAACAGTATAAATATTCAGTGAATCACTGCCGCAAATAGTGTTATTTTCATGTTATTAAGCTAGACTTTTGACAGCATTCTGCGCTGATATATAACAAACGAGCATAGAAATAAGGTTAAACATCTCAATTCTTTAAAACTTTTGAAGTTAACATCACATGCCAATCCCCATCATGTAGCCCGCATTGTGCTGACAACTTTTGGAATACATAGAGACAACACAGCAGGGAAGACAGGTGCAATCAAGTGCCTACTTTATGAAGTGAAAACTACACCATTTTCTTCAAACCATTGTGAACAAAGCCCCGTTTGTTAATGTCAAAAGCTGGACGTTCCTCAACATTCTCCCCCACATTTTTTTGCACCACACACAAGCATGTACACACACACACACACACACACACACACACACACACACACACNCTGCTCAAAGAAAGAAAACTTAACTCTCTCACTGTCTCCCTAGCCAGAATTGTGGAAGGTGGGTTATTCAACATGTCCCCATCATGCACCTTCTGATAGGATCTAATGCAGATCACTTCCATCCAAAGCAGCCTGAAGACCACCAGACCAATACACGGCTCATGTAACATGTACCCAGGTACCTAATCTTTCATATTATCTACATTGAGATAGTCAAGGTTCAAATGGCCTTGGGGAAGGGGTCAGCTTGACCATTGATGGACTGGGTGCTGAGCAGCCTCTGTGTTGAATATATATATATATATATATATATATATATATATATATATATATATATATATATATATATACGAAGGCTCTTTAACAAGTGGGCATGGGTTGGTTTCACAAAACAACTTAAAGGGTTGCTCAGAATGATTTACGTCACATTAGCTAGTGCATGGAGACCCTTGCTGAATGCAACCAGATTAACAGACATGATTAACATGGGAGATTAAGGCTTCGTTCACATGGAAAGTCTATTTTCTAAAAATCTATTTTCTATTCGCAGTATCTTATGATCATGGTCTGTGCCCTGAATATCCCGCAACGTAATTACTGGCAGCGCGAGCCAGTTACTTATAGTAACTTATAGTAACTGGCTCGCTCTGCCAGTAATTACGCCGCGGGATATTCAGGGCACAGACCGTGATCATAAGACATACCATGAATAGAAAATAGAATTTAGAAAATAGACATTGCATGTGAATGAAGCCTTACATGTACCTTCCTGGGGTTGAGTAGTAGAATACAAGAAAGCTGGTGATTATGCCAGTATGTTGAAATCAAGTGGTTTGTTAACCTTTCCCCATGGAGTTAGCAGAAGCTAGGTTAACATAACTCATTCTGTACGGCTCTGAAGAGCAAAAATTGGTCTTAAATTCAAGAGCAAAATTTCTTTAATCTTTTGTGTCAAATCATAAAGAGAGAAATAAAAAATATTTCAGATCAACAGTAACATTCTTTTAGTGGACCAATTGGCATTTATCTTGCCATGAAGTAGAACAAAAGTCCTTGAAGTTAGGACCAACTTTGACCAATTTTTTCTTGAATCTGATTGCTGAGGCCACGTTCTACATGGTATGATCACAAACAGAATAAAAGACTTTGGTAAAAACTGACCAATTAAGACTTGCTTCAAAATAAAAGTCAGCAGAAGATGTCATGATTCCTCAAGGTCGATGTGGAGCCTGGTTGACCTCTAGGCTAGCAAGTCAAGGCAACAGGAAATACTCTGCTTTCTTTAATCTACTCTACATCTGCGGCAAATCAACAAGTTGGACTGGGTCAGGCCAATATCTTGTGAAGTCCATTGCCACTTGCTTCATCTTTATCTTCTGTTTCTATTTCTGGTGTGAGTGCTAATAATATAACTGATTCTGTTGATTGCACTTGCCTACTCTCTCTCTCTCTCCCTCTCTCT